CAGGTTTTCTGTCATTAGTGTAGAAGTAATCTTGAATGTGAGGGATTTGTAGGAAGGATGAAAGTCTAGATTTGAAAGAAGAGATGCTAGTAGTATCCTTAATGGTAGAGGGGAGATTGTTCCAGTCACGGATTGATAAGGGTAGAAAGGAATCATGATAGTAGTTGTTGTTTGTATGGATGGTTCTGATGTCATTCCCATTACGGACTGGATATGGGTTCATTTCAGCAACTGTAGGCGGGACAAGAATATTTATTTTAAAGAAAACAGAGCACCTTACATCATCACATGCTGGAAATGTGGATAAGACAAATTTTTAGGGGTGTGAAAGGTCCATGTGATTGCTCCAGGGGTATGAAGTCTGAAATAGGTTGGGAACCACTGTCTTAGAGCATCTTATTCGAGAAAATCATGCCTAATAAGCATATTCCAAAGGAATGGAGGAAGTCTTGATTTTTCAGAATATATTAAATACCACTACCTACTCAAGATTTACATGGAAGTTATTTAAGTCTGTTCTCATTTAATGTTTTCGTAATAAGATAAAGTGCTTATTTAACAATGAAACAAATGAAGCAAAGAGAATAATGAAAGCTTTCTTTGATGTTGTTTAACAATATTGAAATGTTAACGAGCAGTTGATTATATTGTACACTCTGTCAACTCAATTCATCACTTAATGCAGTCTACTGTCAGACTTATACAGTTTATTCAATTATCTTGGGTACAGCAAGCACAATTTTCTGATCAATTTGACCAATCGTTGTTTTTATCAACTTACTTGTTTTTACAAAGACACTTCAGAAAGGATTTTAAGCAATTAAAGCCCCAAGGCTTGGATTTAATCAAAGAAAAAAAGCCATCTTAAGATTATAAGATTGAGTACTGAAAAAAATCCATAAAAAATAAAGAGGATTGTAGCTTTCATGAGAACTGGCTTACATTAAACATCTGTTATCCTTGTATCTTTAAGATGCTATTACCATAAAATTAGTGCTAGCACGCTACATGACATGCCATGCTATGTGTATCACATGTACCATAACTTACATTTCTAGGCATACCAAATAAACATTATATCATCAAAATACAGAAAAAAACCAAAAAATGGAAGTTATCTGTCAACAATTTATTGGCAATAAATTACATGTAACATCATTCACCTAAAAATATTCAGTCATTAAAAATCAATGAATTTTTAAGTAAAACCTTTGGTTTCCCCTTGTCTGTGAACCAGGTCGGTGGAGCTGACAAGGAAAAAGTGTTTAGTTAAGGATGGAGGCCCAATATCTTGCACATCAAAAATACCCCAACAGTTGGAAAAAAAGTAGACTCATGACACTGTCCTGGCAAATGTCCCTAATTGCACACAGCATGGTGTCGCCGTCTTCATTAGCCAAATTAGAGACAGAAGAGTAGGATGTAAAATGTCATTTCATTTTGTGTAATATGCATCTATAGTGGCATGATTGGAAATAACCATCACTCTATAAAACAAGATATAAATATGAAAATTGCATATTTGAATTACATTGCTGGGAAATTGACAGACAATTTCATGTTTGTATAGTTATTGCATAATATTTATTGATATAGTATATTGAAGAACAGTTAAAGGGATCGTAAAGAGGTCTTCTGAATTTTGTATGCGAATCAGGGACACTAATACTGATAGCATCAATTTTAAATAGGACATCTGTGGTTCCTGCAATTCCACTAAAATTTTTATCAAACTCCTTTTTTGTTGAATTGAAGAATCCACAGACCCCTGATTGAAAATTGAAATGGTGGAAATTGATGCTATCAGTGTCCCCGATATACATAGAAAATTTAGAAAACCTTTTTACAATTCCTTAAAAGATGGCCTCACAAAGTGTGCTAAAAGCCCACGCCCTAAATCCTATAGTGTTAATAGTTTCTGTGTCAATTTCCGTCTGCAAGGTGAGTTTTGAGTTGTACCCATATAAATTTGGCACTTTTGCATTTTGTAAATTAATGAAAAAATCAGATGGCAACGTCTTTACATTAGTACAAACCCACAAATCAAATATGAGAATAAATGCCAAAACTGTTATCTGAGGAGTGACAAGAAAGAACAGTAACAGACTTAACCAAAAGTTATCACCATCTGATAAAATACAGATGTTCTGTTTGTATTGGTTTCTGTTATGCAACAAACCCTCAAGAGCTTAAAAAACGTTCCAGCAATCAAATGCTCAATAAACAACTTAAATGACTTGAAAATTGATTATGTATTGTGTTTAATAATTGGTAATCATACTCAATTATTCACGCTGTGGGATAAAAAGTTCGTCAGATCATAGATCGCCAATTCAGAAACTCTCCAAACAATCACAAAACTTTTTTCAAAAAATTTTGTTGTCAGTTATGTCTTTCAGTGCATTGCTTGTAGTGTTTAAACGGTAACCACATTATATTATATTCAAATAAACGATAAATTTAGCGTAAATCATATTGACATTTTCAATTTCAAAAATTTCTTTTTTTGGTCAAATTCTGCATTTGCCTCATTTGTCTTGAAGTAGTTATGGCCCTGACATAATTACTCCAGTCTTCCTACAGACAATCAAAATTGGTTAAGTTATTCTAGTCATGATGCTATTTTAGTAGTAGAATAGAGAATAGATGGTTCTTTAATCTTGACAGATAATTTTGTCTAGTCTATTGGATGATAGAAGGTTAAGGCCAGAGGGTCTTTTTAATCAAAAGAGTTCCTTCAAGTAGTCTCTAGAAAACAATGATAAGTAAACTGTTCTGAGGACTTGATAATCAATTCTGGCAA